AGGAACGAGGCAGAGGCTGCTAGTGGTGCAGGGAGTTGGACCGTAGAAATAATATAATATTCACTATCTTTTTGTATTAAATAATTAAATATAATTACATTTATTAATTATTTGATACAAAATTGTATGCAAAGCAGAAGCAATCTATCCAGATGCTTGTAATGACTTGTATATATTGTAAGATAATACTATACTGTCAAAAGATAATAAGTATATTTTAACATTATTATTTTGAGAGGTATGTTATAATCACTTATATATCTTGACAATTTGTACAATCATAATTAATATCAGTAATTTTAATAACTATTCTGGATTCTCACTTTACTTGTACTAAATTATAATTAACTTGTGAAAACCACTATCTAAGTTATTATCACTTTTACAAAATTTACAAAAAGTAAAAAATGTACTAGGTTATAATCTAATACAACTGTTAAGACTTTTTCGTGATGTTAGTGTAACAGACAACACTATATTAAATAGAAGTAGTAGACTGTCATTTACCCCTCCTGAGCAGAGTCTGTCCATATGCTCCACTTCACCTTCTCTGTTTGAGCTGGTATGTCCTAGAGATACACCTTTACAATCCACAAAAACAACTCAGTTCACTGCTCCTTTAATTGTATGTTACAGTCAGAATATATAGTATATACATACTGATACAGCTTTGTCTACAGTCTGAATCAACTTGTTCAACACTCTAGATCTCAACTTGTATACACTACTCACACTCACTACTTACTGTCACAGTATGTCCACCTTTTCTCTCCTATTGTCACTTACTAACTACTCTAAACCTGTCTAACAGATACAGTCTCAACCTCTACAACCTGCTCAACCTCAACCTACACACACACACAATTTGACTCACAGGTCCTGAGTGACAACCAAAAGTAGTAACAAAGACTATATCAAACAGCCTAAGAATGTGTTCATCCCTTTTCTGACACAAATTCTACTCACAAAAGAACAAGGCAGAGGCTGCTGGTGGTGCAGGGGTCAGGACTGTAGAAATAATGTATTATTTATTATTTTGTATTAAATAATTAAATACAGGTATGTAACAAAAGTCTTTGTCATTCCTCAAAAGGTAAGTGTATTTGTAAGTGATCTGCATTGACTTATAAGGCTGTCAGAGACACATCAAACCTTTGTCTTTTTCTAGCATACATGAACACATTATACACACACAAAACATGAAAATACAAGCTATTTTGTGAAAATAATGCAAAATTCTTTTTTTTTTGTACTTCACAATGTGTAGATCAGAGCTCTGATCTGCATCTAATTTCTATGTATGGTATGCAAATCACTTACAAATACATCTACCTTTTAAGGAATGACAAAGACTTTTGTTACATACCTGTATAATTATATTTTATTAATTATTTGATAAAAAATTGTATCCAAAGTAAAAGGAAGTGATTCAAACACTTGTAGTGACTTATAAGCATTATAAACAGATATTATACTGTCACAAATTAATAAGTATGTCTTAACCTTGTAATCTTAGGAAGTATATTATAATCACTTGTATAACTTGACAATTTACACAATTATAATTGTAATTGCCAAGTTTTAAAAGTATTCTTACTTACTTATCTAATGTTGTACTGTCATTACTTAACCCCCCAGGAAGATTATAAGTAATTGGACAAATTTTATAAAATATATAAAATATACAAGATTACAAGCAAGTATAATACTTAAGACTTTTTCGTGATGACAGTACAGCACATTTGAAACACTTTCATGTGATTCAATAGCATTGGTAACTTCAGTAACCCTTTAGTTGCTGGTAAACCAATTAGCCAGATAGGGTTCAATGCGACTTTTCTCTTTCTTACCACATCAGGCTTGGTTAGCAAATCATGATGATGTGTCAAATGCCTTTGCAAATGTAACAGAACAGCCTTTGCAAAGAGCTGGGCTTGGCAGGAGAAAGAAAACGCTGGTGGCAGTTGGAGTGTGAGTTTCTTGTGCCTCATTATTGCTCCCAGAGGAATAGAACAGTGTGTACAAGTCCTATAACCTTCTTTTGTTTAATATTAATGCTTTCTGATAGCTATGAATTTCACACTCAACAGCAAATTAAAAAATGGGTTCTCCAAGTGTTTTTGCCCCAGCACTGATGTTACAGCTCTGTCTCATCTTTCCATCACAAAAATATGCATAGTCTTATAATGTATTATATGCAAATGTAATGTCTAATATATATAAAATATATAGAAGTCTGTCAGGTGTCCATATATTGGATTTTAAGGCTAAGACATATATTTTCAAGATATATAAGAAATATAAAACAGAGCATTCTTAATTAATCATACAAGCAAATAAAATACTTTCATACCTAATAATAGTATACAAGACATGTAAAACATTATAAGTCTTGTATAGACTGGTAATTAAATACAATACTGTTATATCTTATAAGAATATATAAAAGATTCCAGATATATTAATATAAAAAATACTTGTGATTTGTTATTAGGGAGTCTCAGACTAGTATAATAATATATGAAAGAGTAAGTCTGGTATAGACTGGTGATTAAATACAATACTATTATATCTTACAGGAGTATATAAGAGATTCTAGATATATTAATATAAAAAAATACTTGTGGTTTGTTATCAGCAGGTCTCAGACTAGTATAATAATATATGAAAGAGTAAGTCTTGTATAAGTCAATAATGGATGTTGCATTATGTATGTGATTGTAAGATATTTAAGGCATATAGGACAATATATTTTATATGTATGGTTTAAGGACGAGTATAATATACTATTGATAAAATAGAATGTAAATATGTTCTTAGGTTAGAAACCAATTCATGCCAGGAAATAGATTAAACAAGATTTATAGTATTAAAATAGATTACTACCATTCTATACATTAATTG